TCCTGCTTGAGTGATAACTCAGCAAAAAMCGTGCCTCAGTTCTGACACACAAACAATCAATTTGGTGGCAACAAGTTACCCCATATAGATTTTCTGTAGTATTTTTGCTCGTGCCCTTGAACTTCAGCACCCTCTATGTAGCAGACAGAGTTTTTAGTTCAGAGCTCAGAGGATGAAGGGGACAGCTGTCTAAGCCAACAATTCCCATTCTGAATAATGGCCCCTGTGCTTCTTTAGCCCAATTAATTGTGCAAAAAATAATTGATGTCAGCTGGACATAAAATGTTTGTTCCGTTTTACAGAGCATTTTTAACAGCATTTATGGATTTTCAGTGTTCTTACTTAATGTCAAATAATCTTAAGGAGCTATATATATTTTATAGTTAAATATGTAAATACCTGAAAGTTCGAAAACTCAGTAAATAGAACTGTCATTKCTAAAAAGAGGATTATTTTCAGGCTCACAAAACAATAAAACAAACCTCACTAAAAATAATTTAATGGAACATGATACAACTTCACAGTATATGGGAATAAATTTACAATGTATAATTTTCATACCAGAATTCTTGAGTTATCAGATAATGTATTTCCTTTCCATGATTWTTCTGCAAGCCATATTTAGGCCCTTCTTACAATAGAAGTTTCACTGTGTATTTTGATACAGAGTGCTCTTGTGTGTTGTTCACCCATCTACAAAATAGTTTTCCTATTTAGATTGGGGAACTTAGAATAATTAAAAGAGTTTGCTTCATTCATGTGTTTGGCAAAAATATTCTGAGTCATCAGAGTCTGAATAGAAGAAAAGTAGAGACAATAAATATTTGCCTAGAGATTCAGGTGTATGATAATTGATCAACTTTTTATTTGTRCTAGTTGCAAACTGATATATCTTAAACCAATATTGTAATATGAATTATTATACACTGAATGGATTTATAGAAGCATRCCTGTATTTCTAGTTCTTGAAATCAGAGGTTGCTCTTAGTGACAGGGGATCTGATTTTCATTTATACTACAAAATCTACGCTTCTTTTCTCATTGGAAAAGGGATTTAAAGGAGAAGTAAATGAATATAAGAATGAAGCCCACTGTGCTGCTGAAGGTAGCCAGGATTTCAGGAGCAGTAATTGTGAGAAGGAGCTGCCCTAAGCTCAGAAGGAAACAGCTGCAGGTGAGAAGGAGTCAGAGCTCAACAAACATCGAAGAGAAAGGGAGGAAAAGGAAGATGAACCTGGGTGTTCTTGTGGAGGGGAAGGTGCWTTGGGAGCAAAGGTATCGAGGAGCCAAGCTAAAAATGTAAAGATAGTATGTCTCAAGTTTTATATATTTTACACTAAGAAATTGTTGTATCAACTTAAAGCATGCAGCAAGTAGCTACTGATCTAATGCAGGTAGTTCAATCTAAMCTTTAACTTCCAGTCAAATACTACATTTTTGAGTCATGTTTGTGCTGCAGGGAGTTTCTCTCCTTGGTGAAGGAGAAATTGGTCACGAAGAGGAAGAAAAAACAGGCAGTGATTTCTGCTCCAAATATTATGTCTCAGAAATCGAGAAGTTGTTGTAGGATGATTTGATGATGTACCTTATTTGTCAAACATTAGGTGTTTGAGTTAAAAATTTGTGGCAATGCCAGAGATGGGATGTTAACATTTGCAAGGTGGAGGAAGGGAGGCAGAGCTAATATTGAGGGTAATCTGCTCTGGCATCTATAGCTAGTAGAGCTATTGTCTAACCAATCCAAAATCAAATGAAAAAATACATATTTTTGTTCAGCCTGGAATATCTCACTGCATTTACAACTTCCTTGTGAGAGGAAGAGGAAGGACAGGCACTGATCTCTTCTCTCTGGTGACCAGTGACAAGTCCCAAGGGGACTGTCTGAAGTTGTGTCTGAGGAGGTTTAGGTTGGATATCAGGAAAATGTCCTTCACCCAGAGGGTGGCTGGACATTGGAACAGGCTCCCCAGCCTGTGGGAGTTCAAGAATCCTGCTGAGCCAGGAGCTGGACTTCAATGATCCTCCCAACTCAGTATATTCTATGATTGTGTGATTCCATCAAAGAGGAGAACACCAAAGGGTGACCTGAGACAATTGTTATAAAATAATTCTTGGTATTGTATTATTTGCCAAGAAACTCTGATCCCATGTGAGTGTTGAAAATGCATTCTGCAGTGTTTTCTTGGATTTGGGTATTTTGTCCTACAAGCTCTGCCCAGCCCTACATCTGAAGCACCTCCGCTGGTACATGTACAGATGCCATTGCAGCAGTTTGGTGACTTTGCCATTGCACAGAGGGACCTGCTCCTGACTGCCTTTGTATTTTACCTTATTTCCATTCCTAGGAAAACTAGGAGTGCCCCAAACTATTTTGGAGAGGATCCCCCTTGTTTATCGCTCTTTCACTAGGAATGCTGGGTTTCTGGGAGCACATTTCTGGGCCCACCTTCAATGGAGCAGGCAGATGGTCATCACAGGCTGCCCTGCAGACTGGCAGCTGCAGGGTTTATTTGTAGAGGGACAATTAAGGTGGAGTTGTCCCACCAAACTGTGTTTCTGGCACATGAGCTGCGAAGTTCAGATGGCTGGTTGCAGTCAGCATCTCCTGTTCTCTCGCTCCAGGTTGCACCAGTGTGTTTCCAGAGGTCATGTTTTTGGAATGTAYTTACCTTGGGAGCTGAGCAGTGCCTTTCACAAGTACCCCACTCTCCCAGGTGATGATGGAAAGAGAATAAATGCAACACCACCCAGATCACTCAGGCAGTGCAGTTTCTACTTATTTATCACAACAGCACCTGCGTTGATGCTGTTAGAGAGGACCCTTGATACCAATTTCAGCTTTTGCTGAATATTATAAAGCATCCAGGCAGTTATTTTCTGTATGAATGGTTACTAAACTGAAGATTTTTTTTAAACAAAACAATCCTCACAGATAGTGGCACAAGCTGACCCTTKCAAAACATCTCCATTTGTCAGTAAGCTTTTGCAACCATTAAAATATCTCTGTTGTTTGTGGTGACATTGTGAAAGCAGACAGCAAATGTTGTGTGAGCCAGAAAAAGAACCAGCTGTTAAATTGAATTTCACTTTTACCTTAACAGTACAATTATTTCAACCCATTTTTTCCAAACTCTAATCAGTTTTAAAGAAGAAGGGATAGAGTCCTTAAAGCTCAMTGGGAGGAATTTTTATACATTTTCACACCTACCTTCTTTGCAATAGCAGAGCCCAGCTCATGGACTTAAAGGAATATTATAAATTCCGAGAGGCACTTTTCAAATACTAAAAGATCACTTTGTCGTCATCATCCTCATCCCCATTGTGCTGGAATAGAATGATGTGGGAAATGATGAGATGTGGTTGCCTAACTCTGAAAGTTGGCATTTATTCCTTCAAATGGAGCAAGAAAGAATAATTCCTCTGAAAGTATTCAAGCTTGACAATGCCATATTTTTTACAGAACACAGCTAGAAGTGCCCATGGAGCCTACATGCAAGAGCTTTGGAATAATTTGGGGTTTTTATGTTAGATTATCTGTCATGTCAAAGTCTTCTAGTCTTACCTTGTGTTTTGGGTTTGTGTAGCAAGATTTGGGGGTGGATTTGGAGTGGGGGCTGTAGGGGTGTTGTCTGTGAGAAGCTGCTGGAAGTTTCTCCCGTGTCCAATAGAGCCAATTCCAGATCCAAGAAGGGTCCACTGCTGGTCAGGGCTAAATCTATCAGCAGCAGTGGTGGCATCTCTGGGAAAATGGGTGWGAGAAGGGGACAAAGTTCCAGTGCAAGAGCAAATTGCAGGCACAGAATGGAGTGAGAATATGGGAGAGAATCAGCCCTGCAGACACTGAGGCCAGTGAAGGAAAGGGAGGAGGTGCTCCAGGTGTCAGAGCAGAGCTATCCCTGCAGCCCATGGGATCAACAGGAGAGCAAAGATCCACTTTATTCCACTTTATTCCACTTTATTCCACTTTATTCCACAATCACTCTATTCCACTGAGCAGGGGAGAGAGCAGCTTTGGTGGGTAGCTGGTGTCCAGCCAAGGTCACCCCACCACACCTTTCTTCAGGGCAGATGCATCTTCTCTCCTGCTGAWCAGATCATCTGCCACTTGAAAGTGTGTGGGGTTTGTTTTAGTCAAGCCATGATAGGATTTTGAGAAGCTCACTCAATTTGATGATTTSCTGTTAGTGAGAGATTCTAATCTAGGATCTATGGGCCCTGGGGAATGCAAGTTTTGTTTCACTTGCAAAAGTAAGTAATAAAAAAYGAGAAAACAGATAAAATTGTACCATACAATTTCCTTTTACTTTAGTCCACATGGAAAAAGAGGGGCTGTCCTCTTTATTTATACCAAAAGTGGTTCTCATGTTCAACAGACCATCACATTACTAATCTCCTTGCATTTTTTTTGCAAACTTCATTCTCACCTAAGATGAAGGTATATTCCATTTACTAGGTCTGTGTTGTGTGTTATGAGCTTTTTTTGTTTATTTTTGTTTGGGATAGAACTATGGGATTTAGTAAGTCAGCGAGACTTTTTRTACATTTGGGGATCAGTGGAAAGAAAATGCTATTTCCACTTGGTGCTATTTCAGTGGATTAGGCAGTTCTTCAAACATATATATTAGCTCGAGTGATAATACCTCAAGGTCTCCTGACTTCCTTGGTGCTACCTGAGACTCTTGCACTTATTTTTCATTATAGCACTCTTGACATAAAGGTCTGATGTGATAGAAATTCTGCAAGCATTATTTAAATTGATTCATTATCTAAATGACACTCATGGGAACCAAATGAAGAATCTACCATGAAAAAGAAAATATTTGAATATAGAACCACCATACTGACTTAGTACCACTTATCCCCATTTGTTATTCATTTTAATTGTSATCAAAATATCATCAGTGTTAAGTTCTTCTAACACTTAGTTTCCAAAATACTTGCTGTTTCATGGGTGATAGAAGGTAAGAAATTAGCTCATGTTGTTTCTTTCCCTCTTGTAGTGCTAAGGCTCCGTATGTCACCAGATGTCCTTCTGCCTGACTGAKATGTTTTTGTGGTCTTTGAAGACCAACTTGCATATTAGAGGTGAGCTGTTACCTTTTACTAGAACAAAACATCACTGATTGATGAATATTAAACTAACATAAAAATCTGAATACCCAAATGAAGTGCTTTTTATACTTAGGAGAAAGAAAATTAGGCAGTATTTGACTTTGGTCAACTTCTTTGCTTTTCTTGYCATAGAACTGGAGCATCCTTTCAGGTAAAAAAAAAATGTTAGAATTATATTTGTTTGGATGCATTGCCCTGCTCAGAAAGCTGTGGTCTACTTGACTGTGAGCTTCAGTTTAATGACCAGATTGGGTCAAGTGAGCTGCAGAGGCATTGTGATTTGTACACAATGTGAAAAYAAAAGATTACTGCACTTTCTGGCTATTTTGCATGACTACTTCAAATTTATACTTACAAGGGTACATTTACCTTATTAATTGATTGTTCCAGAAGATATATGAGTAATTACTAGCCATGTACAAATTACCTTCATTCATCTTGCCTTGCTACTTCTAAAATATAATACAAAAAAAGCCCACTGGTTTATAAGTGGACCACATCAAAATATTATTTATGACACAAAATGCCAATTGTACCGTAAAATAATTTTGTTGAAATATTATTTTGGATAATCAATTTATACTCAGCTGAATGTTATTATTCAAGTGTTAATTCAATATGCCTTGGCATCCCAACTATGTGTGAGAGCTGTTCTGTGACAACAATAGCATCAACAAGTCAAAAGCTGTATTTCATAGAAAAGCCTGATGGTTTGGTAAAAACACAGTTGTGATTTGTTGTAATTAAAGTTTTAGTGTGGAGTACTGTGCCTATTTTCCACCTTTGACCTTCTTGTTTCCATGTATTCATTGCCTAGACACCTCATTCCAAAATTCTGAAGTAGAAGGGAGAATGCTGTCCTGGTTTAAAACCTTGCTGCCCTTCCTAACTTTTTCTTCCATGTCAGGAATTTCTCCCCATGTAATATACCTGTCTGAGTTTAGGAGGACACAGGTGCAGTGACAAACTATTTATTTTCAAATGATGCAACATAATGCTGTATTTAGACCTGCCCAGTGGAGCTTGCCATGGCACACCTAAATATTTCCCTATCAGCCACGTCAGGAACTTACTGGTAGGGCTGCAGTCCCTATGCAGCTGAAATATCCAAATTTCTTTGCCACAAAAACCAGGTAGACAGTAATACCTGTCGATTAAGAATATTGGATCATTTGAACAAGCAACTTTATGTGTTTGTGAATCCAACAAAAACCCAACCCATTTGTCTTTAGCTCACCTGTGTCAGTCTTCAGAAAACATTTAAAGTTATTCCAAGGTACACTTTTCAGCATGATTCTTACTTTGCCTTGTGAAAGAACACAAAGTATGCTAATTAGGAAGGTGGTAAAAATACCTTTGCATGTATGCAGCTGGAAGGGAATCAAAGAGCTTGGAAGGGAAATGACAGCTCCAAAAAATGTAAATGTCACATTCTTCTTCATGCCTTGTCTGCTGGTTCTTGGAAATCCTCATGGTATTCAGGCTATGTACTGTGCTCGTATTTTTACACCTAACACTGCTTTAGCTGGTAAAAATTGARGTGCTGARCTTTGCTTTCTAAGTTGTGTTCTGKTTCTAATGTCATATCCATATTTTAATGTATTCACGTTTTATTGTACAGATGAAGACATTGGGATCCACCAGTACTGTGACAAGAAAGAATCAGGTAAAATACAAATAACCATAACTGAAACTAAAAAAACCTTCAAAATGTTCAGTATTTGAAACCAACTGCTTRCTCTTCAAAATGCAGCTTCACATTTCTTGTTAGCATATGATTCTATTTCTATGGAGTAAGGAAACACAAAGAGTTTCTCCCAACTTATGTCGAAGTATTTAAAAGTCTTTAAAGCCACAGAAGAAAAAAAGAGGAAAAAAAGGAAAAAAAAGCCACATAAAATCAACCCTTATRTAACTAGAAAACTCAGTGAGATTTTACATTCTGAATTTTTACGGGTTTTAAGGTATTTTTTGTTGTGCGGAGCCCAGCGCACGGCCAGGTGATTGCCGAATCCCAGCAGAGGGCATCTCTGCCTGCCCTCTGGAACGGCCATTCCAGAACGAGCGATCCATTTCCTTTATCTGATCAATCCTGCTAATCCTACAAGTTTCCCCACGGGCCGGAGGGGCTGTGGGGCTGGAGTTGCCCCCCTTTTCTCCCTCCGGACCGATGGAKTGGGCTCACCTCTCTCCCTGCCCACCTTTCTTTCACTGCAAATTTAAGATACCTGCCTTCCAGGGTGAAAGCATCGGGGCTGCCTTGATTGTTTTGGAAATATCTGTATTGTATCCAACTGTGCTAGTCCTCTCTCTAATATTAATATTTGCTGACAGCAATTGTAAGGATTAATTCATCTTTTCATCCTCTTTTCTTTAGCATCACAGRTGAAGCACAGTTACTTAGAAGAGAAGCAAAAGCCAGCAGAACGTAAGGGTGTTTTCTGAGTTTTTTTCTTACAGTAAAACAAAATTGCTAATTTGGATTGGGGATGCCCCTGGAAGAGCATTAAATAACCTCAGACTGCTTCCAGTGTAACTTTCTGCACATGTTATCTAAGAGTGATGATCACAGAACTACACAGCACAAAACAGTTGAAAATCTGTATTTATTTCTTCCTGATATATTTCCAATATATTTTATTTCATATCCCTAAGCATGGTAGCATGTATTGCTTTTCAAGCCCATTGTCAAAAGGAATCACAAAAATAATCCAGATTTTTCCTTACGAAATTTACTTAGCAGATGAGCAATAAAAATTTCCCCAATCATCTCTTGACTTGCAACACCAACTGCCTTAAAACTGGAAATTATAACTAAAATACTTTCAGCCAAAATCAAATTCCAGATTAATAATCAGATGCTTTCATAGAATGGTTTTAGCTTTGAAACATTTACTCTGTCCCTGCATTTCCCAGCTAAAAGCAATTTCAGTTCATGCCATCCCACACAGTGCTACTGTGACTGTTAAAGATTTTTATATTAGTACAACTTTTCTTTAGCTCAAGTTTTACACCTCCTGCATTGCTCAGAGAATTCATTAATGTTCAAATATTATTACATGRCAACTCTGAAAAATCTAACTGATTTTTCAGACAAATTCACAAAGCAATGTCTATGCTGTTACCTTATCCAAATGAAAATTCTAGTGGAATTGTGCATGCACATGAAGGCAAAATGCGTTCTGGAAGGATTAGTTGTTCCCAGCACTGCAAGGTGTGTTTGGAGCAGGTTGAAGCCCTGCTGGGGATGGGTGTGAAGGTGCAGCCATGGGGCAGATCCACCCCCTCTGCAGAGGATTCTGTGTCACAAGGGATTAGTGCAGCTCTGGGAAGGTGGAGAGGTAAGGAAGGGTTACAGGCAGGGAGGAGTCTCACAGATTTGCATCCCCTGTGCTCAGTGTGGTGTTATCCTACAGGCTCTGCATGTGTGAAATGAGGAGCAGGCCCAGATAAACCCCAAAATTTTCATTCGATCACCAGCAGCCCCAGTGGTGCCTTTTCCACGCGTGACAGGCAAAAGGAACCCAAGCTGCTGCATCTTCCTGGGAATGCAGGGGTGCCCATGGCACAAAGCCTGCACAGCACATTTTGGAAAGAGGAGTGCTGTAAACTTTATTCACAGCTGTTGATTTCTMCAGATAGTTCAGTATCTGTACAGGCAATTTCCCGTTTTGCATACGTGGATAAATATTCCAGTATTTATGAAGGCACCCATTGAAAATGTGATCTTACATGCCTAATTAATATTATCATAACWGTTCCACCAACACTGGCTTCAGTCCAATGCAACACAAAGAGGAGTTGTATGCTGGTGTCCTCTTTTGTTGATATATGAAATCCTGCATTTTTTTCACTCTATAGCACTTCTGTTGTAAGCTCCTTTTTGCAGGGAGTTTTAAGCATAACTGCTACGTCATTCAGTCTGGAAGCTGGCATACAAACTGACTGCTTGGAGCTCAAAACTTTTCATCAGGTTTCCTTTAAATGGGAATAGATTATAAATAATGTGTTCTGGTTTCTCGTGGGTTTTATTGTACACTTATGAACAGAAAACTGCTCACTTTTAAATGAAGAAATTTCACAAGTTATTAGAACCTGATTCTCAGCCATGAAACAAGCCAATTACTGGCAATTCCAGAGGAAGCTTTGCCTCCTGGTTGCTAGAATTAATGTATTAGGCCAGAATTTTCACAATAGTGTGCTGAACACTAATAAATTTGAAGGACTTTAGCAGTCACACAGTTTCTTCTTTGCTTGACTTGGCAGATTCTTCAGACTAAATTTTCAAGAACATCCTATAAATAACTATACTCCATAAGTTATGGCATTCACAATTGCCTTTTGTTAATACTTCTTTATATGCATATATTCATATTTTCATATATTTTGCAGGCATGTTGGTGCCTGCTTTTTGAAATTAGGCAATGAAGTGTTAGTTCAGAAGAACAGAATCTGTTTAGGATGCTTGAAACTTGAAACTGAGTTAATATATWGAACAGGAGGTATTTTTTCACTGCAAGTGCTTAGGAGCTGGGTAAGGTTCTGAGAGCTTTGTACACAATTGTTATGGGGAAGTCATGGTCAGTGTGGACAGAGTATGCCAACTGTTCCTATGGCTGAGCCTTCCAAAAAACAGATCCTTTGACAATGGAAACCATGGCCATTTCCTTCCAACTGCAGGTAAATTTTCTATTTAAGGTAACTCCTAGAAATCCTGCATTTGTGTTTCCACAGAAAAGGAAGTTCAAATCAAAGAACTTTTTAAAATGACATAAATGTGTGCTTGTACACATACCCACATGTATAAATACACAGTTTCCTATATTTACACATTTCTCTACCTTCCCCCTCCTCACTTTTCTTTGACAGCTCGAGATTATCCTTGGATCCTGAAAAGCAAGMGAGTGGACAAACTGCGAGATGCACTCAAGGAGGTAGAGGTATGGTTCAAAAAGTTTCAAGCCCAGCAACATCTAATCTGGTTTTCAAACCTCTTTCAACAGCTTTAATTTTCATAAAGATCCAACTCTCYCAGTGATGATAAATGTGCTTTTGTCTGGTGGGCAGTTCTAAAACAGCTGCATCTTTGTGTGGCATTTTTCATCTGTAAACTTGAAAATCAGAAGTCTGTTAACTGATAGTGACMATGTGTGCTGCCAACTCCACTCTCTGTTTTCTGTTGTCCTTTAGGACTTAATGCAGAACAGTCCTTGTGTGCTGAGCAAATGGARGAACAAACATATCTGCCAGGTACAGTGTCCTCAAAAGGTCTTGCAGKGTTCAGTCAGTGGTGCTGAGCAGCCATTCTGTGATGGGAGCAGAAATGTTCAAATGTTACTAACAGAAAATCATTGGGGTTTTTTAATGTGTGGGCCCTTATTACACACATTGGGTTTATTTAAATTTCTACCCTGAAATACATGTCTCGAATAAAAAGCCTGGGGTTTATCAACACCAAGAAATTATATTAAAGGGTCCTAATTCTATGAGATGATGATGATGATGATGATGATGATGATGATGGTGATGATGATTACTATTATTATTGTTAATTATTGTTGTTACTACTATTATCATTTGGGGAAACAGAAAACATCCTGTACCTCAAAATAGCAGGCTGAGGGAGCAGCTGTATATTAAAACATATAGACAGGTCTGGAATCTGTGTTATRTTATTTTTATTACTTAATTATTTACATATCTGCCACAAATCTTTTTTACTTTATGCTTGTGTAATATGGGAGGGAAACTATAAACCAACTAGATCATTAATCAAGTTATGGACTTGATAGACAAGAAGATATTGTGACATGAGACACACATATAGTTATGCTCTCTGGCCATATGAGTTCCATATTCTGTGTACAAGAAACACTTTTTCACATCCTCATTTAGACAGAACAGGAGGACAAGGAGGAAATCTGGACATGACATGCTCTGAAATAATGTGCTTCTTCTGAAAACTATATGTAATGAATTTTCTATGTTTATGCAAACTTCATGAGGAAAATGCATCTTATTTGTGATGCTTTGGCATGGGAAATACTTGTCAATATCACTGTTTCAAAAAAGGAGTTTTGTCTTCTAACTTCTGTGCTTTTTCAGACTCATAATTTTTTCTTCTCGTTCAAGTAGTTCCCAATGTGTGTCAGCAGAATGGTTGTTAAATATCCAAACCCTGTACAGCTAAAATTCCAGAAATGCCTTTAAGAATAGCAAAATTTTTTTAATACTTGATATGCCAAATGGTATGTAGTCTTTCTGTATCAGTAATAAAAATGTGATTGTCTAAGCTCCATTTGCCTATCAGATCTTATTGCTAGTAAATGTTTATCATTGACGTACAAATTACACAGTATACATCTGTGAATGTTAATCTTCTAAAGCTGATTTAAATATTAATTGTATGCTAATTTGGGGGAAATAATTTTTTCCTGTTATTATTGTTCTGATTAGGAAACAAATTTGTTTAAGAAATACCACGTCAATTAGCTGTGAGTGCACTCATTTGCTTCCCCTCTTCATTTGCTTTCCCTGTCCATTCTCCCTTTACCATTTTCCTTCCCCTCCCATTCATCAGCATCCACCTGCATTTTGTACCAATCACACTTTGGAACAGTAAACTTCTTGTCAGAAAGTGTCACCTTGCCTTTACAACAGAACACCTTTGGCTGACTATCAGCTCTGCATAAAATTCTTCTTTATTTTTTTTTTTATTTAGCATCCATCCAGGCTTACATCAATATGAATGAGACAAATACAATTTAATTTATTTTTTCTACAAGATGGGAAAGAAAAGAGAAGAGTGTTTCCATCTCAGTGTATTAGGTATTGAACCATGGCTTGTATGGCCAGAGTATAAGTGATGGTATAAGTTATAACATAACCAGAGTGAAAGCTATAGCTAAAAATCATAATCATTTCTCTGTCCTTAAATTCTGCTTTTGGTTTCTCAATCCCTAAACAAAATGTTTTTTGTTTAAACAAAATGTTTTTTGTTTAATAGTGACTGATTACTGAAATCTCCAACAAGGGTGAGAATATTTTGCCAAAACAATTGTGTTCCGTTTTCTGTCTTCCTGAAAATAAAAGACCTCCAACAAATGAAAATAAAATAGAGGAAAATGAATTATTTGGAAGAGTCTAGAACAGAAAAGCTGTCTTCTGTCAATTTTGATGTCAGATGGTTTGTTTTTCTGCTGCTCATCTGTCTTTGAGCATTTGGTATCAATAATTGGACTGTCCCTTTTTGATGCAAATGTTCTGAAGCTTCTGGAAAAGATRGTGTGTGTTTATTTTTTAATTCTAAGTAGAATACTAATTAACTGTTTCAGCAGAGTGCTTACCATGCAATGGTGTGATCTGTGGCATAACACTGCTGTATTCACAGCCTTTTTTGGATGAATACCAGAGCTAGTGGGAAGAGTCCATGTTTGCATTGACTTTGGAGAGTTAAAGCAATGTGTCAGACAAGCAGCATGAAGAACATGTAGGAAATTACTCTGATTTTCATAATTTCAATGTTTTGGGTTAAATTTGAGTAGATGGTTTCATTATAGTATCTTTTTTTCTTTTGTTTTTAGTAGCAATAAAATGTCAAATAAACTCCTTTATAGAAATTTAAATATTTAACTCAACAGCCACATTTTCCCATTTTTCTTTAAATGTTATTTGTATTCCAATCTGCCACATCTGTAGCTGAACCAGGAGCAGTTCCTTTTGTATTCTAATAACTCCAAAAACTCAATGGCTGCTGTACCTTGAGCAAGACAAACTGAAAGGTGATGCAATGAAAACAAGACTGTCCTTTCAAAGAGTTGTATGATTTCCCTCAGATTTTGTGAGAAACAAGCATAAAACTGCTGCCAGTGCATCTCTGTATCCTAAATACCACTATTCCTAATCCCTCACGCTTCCTCCAACACTTCCATCTCAGAACTGAGCCACAGGCAAAAACTGGGGTTTGCAATGAGTTTTTGCAAAAAATCTGCAAAAAATAAGTGTGCTGTCATTTTAACTGTTTATGTGCAAATGGCCAATTAAACTCCATGCATATGCCCCATGAGAAATCCATTTGTTTTACCTGCAGGTTATCTTGTCCATTGCAGGAGTGTATTTCTCAAGCTTGGCTTTTCCATAWGAGTTTGCCTAGAATGACCATAATGGCTTTCTACCTTTCCTAATGTTTGATTTTCTGCATCAAAATTTATCCTATTACTTTTTTTTAGTTTATGCACTTCAGTGCATTAGAAGTTTCATATTTACTTCCTTGCCCATTGCCAAAAAAAAACCCCAATGACCTTTATTTTTGCAGTCCTAAGTGCACATTCCAGCACTGCTTAGAGCTTCTGAAATAGGTGATGTGCCAGTTCATGTAAAYATAACCTAGACAGCAACAGGGATTTTTGTCAAGGAGCTTGCTCTCATATTTAGAAGAGCTTAGTTGAGTCCTGAAGGACTGGGATCTTCTCTTTAACTCTGTTCTGATCCTCTGTTTAGGAGCTGAACCCACACCATTTCTGTATGGCACTTCTGACCCCCAACTTTGATGACCTGTGTTGAGTTGCTGAAATAATCCTGTAATCTTCAGTTARCTGATGTCAAAGGAAAATAAATAGACCATAAAAGAGAGATGACAGGAAAAAGACAAGAAGTCTTTACAATAAGATGCCACTGTACTTCTCAGCTTTCCCTGCCAGGAAGCAATAACCTAAGGAATTAATTTTATTGGTATTGTTGAGTTTACTCAACTCAGCTCTGGCTTCTTCTTGTCTTGGTCTCCTTCTCTAATTCTTTGGAATGCTTTTAAGTTTTGCCACAAAATCATGAAATCTTCCCATGAAATGTTGCCATTGGTTTGGTTTTACAATRTAAGGCAGTAAAAATAAATTAAATCTAGCTGAAACATTTGATTTCCAATTTTTTTTTGTTTTACATTTGCATTCTGATGTTGCATTAAACACATTCCAACATTGTTATGCATTTTATTGTATAAAAGCCAAGTGCTAGCTGTGAATCATATCTGTACCATGCTAATGAAAAAGATTTATGTATGCTTTGCTAAATTGTTTTGATTTCACTTAGTTGTATTTGTGTTGCAATTTGCCTATGTATATAAATAGTTTTTCTGTTGCCATCATCTACGTACATAGAGCTGGATTCTGAATTGAGATCCACAGCAATATTTTCTGGCTTGTTCTATCAGCTACAATGCCCATAAGCAAACTGATTTAGCAAGATACATGGTGACATGGCATTTGATATCCAAACCAAGACATACATGAGAAGCCAGCACCCAACCCCAATTACTACGAGGAACACTACCCTCATATTAAATTCTTTTGGTTGCTTTTGATCACAACCATTAATGTGTTGTGTGGTTTTAGATATTTGGAGCTCGAAGTACAAATGCATTGATTATTGTGAAACAGCAACGTGTAACAACAATAACTYCATCTGTAATAAGGCATGCAACACAGTAATTACGGTGGGGTGGCTAAGAAAGCAATCAGGAATGAAGAGGTGGGGAAAAACCCTGGGAACCTGCTTGAACAAGAAATGCTTTGCAATTCTCTTCTTTTGCATATTCCTTTGTCAGTTGGGCTCTCTAAGGGAAAACAGTTTGCAGCAATATTTTTTTACAGGCATATTTTCCTTCTCTTCCAATTTTAATCAGATAGAAGCAAATCCTGGCTTTGCTCCGCAGGTATCTTTTTAGGTAGAAGGGCTGATAAGCAGCTGAGCTGCATGAATGAGGAGTCAAGGGCTCAGGCTTCTGAGGATAAAGGGATCCTCTTAAGTAGATGCTTAAGTTGTACTAAAGTCCATAAGTCATGAACCTGTACTTAAGTCCTTTGCTTAATATAAACTACCTCAAATACATATTGGAGCACTTTGCTGTCGGGGAAGAGAAGGGCTAAGTCTTCCCCTGAGTATCCTCTGCTGCTTCTGTCTTTCTTGCTCAGTGCAGAACGATTTTTGGCATATGAAATACCTAATCCCTTCTGTCAAAGTCTTCACATTTAACTCCTYGACAGCACAGAAATTGAGTGGTTCTTCCCTCCCAAAATGTAGAATAACCAGGTGCCCAAACATTTCACTCAGACTGCACTCAAGTACAAAGGCTCTGCCTTATTCTTCCACTAGGTATGAAGTCATATTTGTTTAGGAACACCTTGTGACTGCTTAAGCTCTGGAGATGACTCTTCTGATTTTGGTTTTTTTCCCGTCATAGTAGTTCAATCTGAAAAAATTATGATGTGTTTCTTTACTGTGAGTTTCTTTCCCTAACTTAATATCTGTTMGATGGAATGATGTAGTGCCTTGTGTAAATAATGCCTCTTACATTGGCTTTTATTCCGTAGCTATGATAGGCTGTTCCCTTTGTGGCTGGATCACTGTGTATCCGTGTTCAAGCCAAGTTTGCAACCTTCCCTATTTGCTTTATATTCATTTGTGCTTGTGATTGGACTGCTCCCATCCACCAAAATAAGAGCTTAACCAGGCAAACTTATGTGTAACAGCACCTAAATCTTATTATCATGGAACAGTCTTTGCACAGACTACACAGAATGTAGCAAATTRAAATAGTGGTTTCTATTTGAGCACATAAATATTTTCTCTTTTCCAGAATATTTTTGRTGTAAGATAGCASAGAATCATGGAATCATTTAGGGTTGAAAAGACACTTGAGAGTGAGTCCAGCTGTTAACCTGACACTCACAAGTTCATCACTAAAATACACCCTTCCATTCCACATTTGCATGTATTTAATGCCTCCAGGGGTGTTGACTCCACCACTGCCCTGCTTTCTTTAAGTACCTGCTTGTACTTCATGGTAAACTCTAAGAACTAGATTTTAAGAAAGCTCAGTTCTAATCCAAAGCATTTTGAAAGGGAGATGGATAAAATACTAATCTTGGCCACATAGTGTGTAAGGTCTCTGATTTACTTTTTAAATTTAGACTCCAAAGTTTCTATGAGAATGAACTTAAACCTATGGACCAACCAGGCTAAGTTATTACAATTACAATTAAAGATCTTCCCAGATATCTCAGACTTCTAAGGGGAATGAGAAAGAATGTTTTGGTGTAAAATGAAAGAAGGAGAGAGCACCGTGTGGGAAACCATAAAAGGCGTGGAAATTATATTTCTTTAACCTCCTATCTGTGATTCTGTCACGTCATAGTGATGGCACAGAGGTTTGTGCAATGCTGAAAATCCACAGCACTGGTTTAATGACTGGTTTCATAAGTGTAAAGCAAAGCACACCCATTAGCACAACATTTTGTATTTGTATAAATCTCTTGTCATGAAAACACTGGAGAGGTTTTCATTGATTCTTATTTTAGCTTTGAAACAGGTGTGATTTATGCCATTTCCAGGAAATTAATGCATAGGCCTAAAGGGAATTTACACCCTGACTGCCCCATCCCTCTTGTTGGTGCATAACACTGAAAGACTGGGAGTGTTTWACTCTCCTCTATCAGGCTGATATTCATTCAGCAATTTAGAATTGAGCTTTTTAAAAACTAATTTATGTAATTTTGCTTGATTGTTGCTTGCATCACAGTGTGGCCACTCCTGGGTGTCAACCCTCACTTTTTCCAGTAGGTTTTTCAGACATTTACAGCCAACTGTAGTCAAACCTTGCTGGACTTCATGTAACTAAGTTGGAAATAAATTGTGATTTTATCTAATCTAACTTCAACATAAGGACAAATTGAAGTTTTGAAAGATTGGAATAAAAGCTGCATGAGTGTAAGCGTGTCTAACATTTTTACTAGGACAAAACCTTAAAGGACATCTGTCATGACAGGGAATATCGAAACATTGACTATTTATAGTCAGTCTTTCTTTATATATATATATATATATATATATATATATATAAAATTATTGTATGATTAGACTTTGGCAGGATGGGAACTGATCATTTGTTCTTAGAAATTAATTTTACATCACAGTTATTTTTTTGTTTCAATTTCACACATCACTAGAATTTATTTTTAAAAAGTGTTGGTTGAAGGTGTTAGGGCAAGAACACAAATGGTTTAAATACACTTGAGCACAGAGACATAATAATATAACAAAGTATATACAACTGAGAGTTTCCATAACTAAATTATTGGGAGCAGAGCACTGCACAAGGGACATGCCCAATTAGATCCCTATATTCCTGTCCCCAATCCTTTTTATTTATTATACAATCTGTGGATTTTACTGCAAGAAACTTCTAAAGATTATATTTCAACCATGTTTGTCTCACAACTCCAGCACAGAATGAACAGGGAATTTTTTCTGCCAAATTCTCCTACAAGTGCAAGTGGTTCTTCAGTAGYTAAGTTTTTTAAAAGCTCAGAGATTTCTTTACAAATCTACTGTTAGGTAGAAGTAAGAGCTGGAGTCCCAGATTCCTGGCCTTTGGTGGGCCCTCTGGACTTGTCTGCAATGGTCTTTCCACTGAGAATTCTTTTATGGGTTTTATTTTCTGAATTCCTTTGCTGTAGTTGTTGCATTCAGAAAATGACTAATGGTTTAATTATGCAAAAATAAATGTTTTTCATAACTCCTCCCACTGAGCATTCTCTCTCTCATAGAAGATATTGCATAAGAAGGAGCTGATAAATAYGGTGACTTAGTCTTCAAGATTATATGTATCATTTAATTTAAATYAATTAGACATGAATATTCAATTAACTCTGAAATAACCCTCTGACTATTCTTTCCAATCGTTTAAAGTTTTTCTTTCTAAGAGAGACATTTATAACCTTATGTCAAGGAGTGAATGGGGTTTTGGGAGCTCACAGCTATCTCTGTGGTCGGACACAAATATTTAATTTAAACAATATGTGAATGATCAAAAATAACAAGAATAACAAAAAAGGTGCTGGTTTTAGTGGTAGTAATATAGAATTATTTTAAGCTCTACTTGATATATTTTAGTGGTATTAATATAGAATTATTTTAAGCTCTGCTTGATATATTTTCTACTTCCAGGCTATGCAGTCACTTCATACAGAAAAAAATCAGGTCTGTGGGTGATAGAGCGATCAGTGTAATTCCTTCCCTCATTGAGAACAGAATTTTGATCTCTGTTCTTAACAGACTAATTCAGTACATTTTATTCAACATTTGGGGACCTAACTACTTCTTCAAGTATTCAGCAATTGTAGTTCTTGTACCCTTATAATTTGGTGTCGTGTTACATCTTTCTTTTATTGAAAAAGCTTTCATAGTCATTATAAGACATCTTCACATCAATGATAATTCATTTTTGTAATTTCAAATATTAGATTACTGCATAATGGCCGGCTGCTAATACGCACCTTGGAACGCTTCACTTTATTAATGATTTTTGATGYCTTGTTTTCTCTCTCTTTGGCTCCAGCTCCTTTTTCACTCAGGTATCTTGGTGTCCCTAAGCCTTTCTGGGCCGCAGCTGGAGAAGGTGCTGATTGACAGGACCCTGGTGGGGAAGCTCATCTCCGACACCATCAGTGATGGTAATTACAGCCATGTGCAAATCAATTGCCTGCATTAACAATAGAGCASAGAAGCAGTGTGTCAACAGGTAGACTAATTATTGCCACTGGGGACTTGCAAACACAACAAGTAATTGCATGTAATGCTATAGTTACAACCCTCAGGACTAAGAACACTTTAAGAATAATATTTAACATCAAAAGTTTTTCAGGCTTGTCAAATGCTGCACGGGTCTCTAAAATTCCGTTTCTTACACGTTGTGATGGCTGTGAAGGTGCTATTTGAACTTGTGTTTGTTTTGTTAGGGGGAAAATGGGACAGAACCAAACATTAGCCAATTGAATAATTGCATGGGATAGTTATTATAAAAGTTGTTATTAAAACAGGCTGGATAACATTAGTTATGTGGAGGTGTTCTGATACCCAGGATCTCACTATTGTTATTAACTAGCGACTGCTAAAAATTAAGTTTTCATTTAATGCAGAAGAAAACTTACAAAAACGTCCCTGTTTTCCACAGCTTTATGATATGACTCATATAATTGAGAAATCAACTGGTATCTTGGCTTCTGCACAAGCAGGAGTTGGAAATTTTGGTGTGAGCCATATTACATGTGCACTACCAAGCTCTCTAAGAGCAGACCCACATTACATCCTTCTAGTAAGAATATGCACTTAATTCAGGTTTGATCTTTTATGATATATTTTTCTCTCTACCCAGGCATCTATTGAATATTGGCCTAGCTTTTTAAGAAACTACAATATTGTGTGCCTCTCATCTTTTCTTATCAATATATTGTAGTTGGTCTTGAAAGGTAACAGCAATATAACTATGCTAGTAGAATCTTTATTTATAAAAGAAAAAATTAACCTTGACGTCATTTTTTATGAACTAATTACACAGAGAGCATAGAACACATTTACTATCTTGACTTTTTTTTCCCATTCTTCACCTTAATTACTGGACTACTAATTCCACCTCTGAGGTTTTTTCCCTCTGTTCCCAGAGGGATGATTTCCTACTTTCAGGTGACAAAAAGTAGGAAGCCATGAAAACTAAGGTTATACCCAAATTGAAGTAGTTTGTGGAAATTATTTTGAATACTTTGTCTTTAAAAAATAATTTAAAAAACAAATTATATCTATCATGTCTTACCTTGGATTAATATGTCATGGAAATAAAAATACTCATTTAGAAAATGCGGCTAACAAAAAAGCTTACAACTAAAGCAACAATGAAGGAACAAATATGTTTTACTACATTTAGACCACAGTATTTGTTTTATAAATAACATTAGATAGTGTTTTGTCCTTACTTTCACTAATTCAAGATTTTTTTTAAACCTCTATGTTTGCTGATACCCAGGTCTGAAGATGAAATAAAACTGCCTCTGTTTTRTAAAAGCAAATCACTCTGTAACTTTCATTGCAATACAGTTTTTATTTTCATGAACAATAAAAGAAAATGCTTTTGTTACCCACACAAACCATGCTCAAAACCCAAGTTTTTATACTGTGCTATCCCTACATGGGAAACATGAGATAATGTTGTCCTGGAGGAAATGAATTTTAATTCAACAAAATAACACCTTTCCAAATTTGACTTCAAATTAAAATTGTGATTATAAATTTGGCCAAGAGAAATCCTACATTTAGTACAAGAAGCCTGTATAAAAATAATAGTTCTTACTCCAGCAATTGTGTGTATGTAGAAATGGATAATGGTTACAATCTGCCAGAACTACTTATGAAATGTTGTAATTCTCATTCAGAGTAGCATGTCCTCTTAACATTTGGAATAAAGGTCAGACTGTGTGCACAAAATACAGAATTACTACTGCTTTTATAATCCTCCTGCATCTCAGAGAGTCCTCCTGATTCTTGTTATTTATAGCCAAAATTTCATCAATATCTGAGGTTTGTCGTAGTTGATCTTTAATGTAAACTATGTCTGTGAGGACATCAAAGTATTTTAACTGTACACAGATATTGAGGATACCATATTCAGTGGTTTTCAGTTTTCATGTGTGTGCAGAATCTCAGTTAGAACTTCTGAATCACCTTATCAGATACTTTAGCACCTTTTTTTTTTTTTTTTTACTTCCAAAAAAGCTGGTGTTAATGTTACATTTCAAAGGCAATTATTTGGCTCTAAACTCTACCCTTTAGCATTTGCATACCAGATACTTCAGAGTTGTGCCAGGACATGACTGTTGGAAAATGCAAGTGGTTATAAATCAGACTAAAGAAAAGCAAAGCTGAGTAGCCAGTTTTCCATGCTTATATGTAAGATTAAACTGTCAATCTACTTAAGGATATGTAAAAATTAGGTTTAAGAGTCTGGGATATTAGTAATAAATGCTTTTTTTTTTTTAGTGGGTTTTTTTTTTGGTTGGGTTTGGTTTTGTTTGAGGTTGTTCCACAGAGTTTTCTTTGTTTCTAAATCTGGTTCCACTTTAATTGGCACTTTCCTTTTAGGAGAGGTTTCTGAGTTTACAGTCTGAGCACAGCTTTCCAGCTTTGCTTTAAACCATCAGTGATCCTTCAGTGGTCTGGTACTGCTTACCCTGATGATTCACTTCATACTCAGACACCTCTTCAAGTGTGGGTCCTGCTTGAATAACTGGGTGACACTTGGGAAAAACCCTAGATGCTATTTTTAAAAGTAATTTTCATTGTCAGATTAGTTAATCACATTTATATTGAACAAATTTGGTCTAGCACTCCCTTATGGTAACAGTGGGGATTCCACTGAGCTTCTCCAGACTCCAAGGGAGTCTGTTCCATCTTGGTCACTTGTGTTGTTTGGTTACTCCCATGTGAAACTTTCAACGAATTCATAACTCCTTTAAAGCCTAATCCTTCATGTCAGAGCCTCCTTGGTGTCTGCAGCAGCACCAGGAACCTTACAATGTCAAAAGACCAGATACACCTCAAGCACTAATTTGCATTTATCACCCTTATAGCCAAGCTGTATGGGGTCCATTTATGAAATACTGGTGGATGTAACCGTGAGAAAAAAAAATACTGAAAGCTGAATACTGAGATTAAAATTATTGTGTAAGGGCATAAAATAATGTATATTGAAATGTAGTGGCAATTTGATATGGGATAATTTATTCAGGTGTGTGTAAYCAGAGTATTCCCTAGGCTTTATTTCTCATTTCCAAGAAATTCCTGACAGGATGACACACTGATATGTTTTAGGATATTGCAGGGCTTTCTGTGTAATATTTAAGACACCATCTTGAAAAAAATTGCTTTTTGCAGTGTCTCAGTGGAGTGTTCACCACTTTGTTTTGTTGCTAGAAACAGATATTGCAGTGCTGACAATTTTTGTCKTTTTTTTTGTTTCAGCTGTTCTTACAGACAGTTTCATCATCTTGTCATTTGAGGACCACAACCAACTCTGCWTTATTCAGTTTACAAAGACAATGGATTCTCTTGATGTAAACAAAAGACTGGAAAAACTCTCTAGTTTGGACTTTAAGGTATAGCTGCCAATGGTGACTGTAAACATTGCAGGAACATCATGAATCACTGGTTTTCACTATACTGTATAGCAGCAGAAATTGCAAAGCTTTCTATAATTGACCAGAACAGCTCAMACAGAACAGCTCAAACTCTAAAAATGGCAGTTACTGAAAAGTCAAAAAAAAATTACGATGGCAGTCTGAGTTAAGGAGGTAAAATACTTTGCCGAGAGGGATCCAAATTTCTACTGTGTTTATTTTCAGGCCCAGGCACACATTTGAGTTACCCCTGCTTGACTGTTTGAGCAGCAGTAAGTGACCCTTGGCGCATTCTTGGCATCTAACAAGCATGAAGYAAAGTCTGTAATGGTAAAGCTCAGTGTAAAAGATTTCAGTTAATGTGTTTTACCTCTTGYTTGTTGAGGGCTGAAAACACACACACGGTCAATTACTGTGGCTCAGCTGATAGACACAAACATGAACTCTGGTAATTCTATCATCTGTCTGAGCTCCTAGATTGCTGTAATTCATTGCAGAAATCTTAATTTCACCTCTAGTAATRGTGTTGTCTGGGGAGTTGCTTTTAGAATTGAGCCACTGAGTAAGGAATCAAGACATAGAAGCTGAGTTTGTCACCACTGGCCAGCTGTGTGTGACCTTGGTGCCTCTGGGTCTCAATTCATGAGTTAAGAGCTGAAATACTCCCTTTTTGCAGCCCTTGTTGTGTGGGTGTGCCTCCACTACACAGGCAGGTGAAAGGTGRCCTAGAGAGAGTTGAGCTGGTTTTAAACTACCCAGTCTGGGGGTCAGTGGGAACCAGCTCATCTCAAGATGAATGACACCCTGTCTTGGATGGAATGGTCTGGGTATCCATAACTTATTTCAGTCATGAGCACTTTGGCATCAGGACACCACTTCCTTAGGTGGAAGTGCTTGGTGCTACAGCAACATGAAAAAATAATCAGCCAAGGCAATTAACTTTGAACAGTTCAAAATAGGAAAGAGGATACATCCAATCCACTGCAAGAACAGAGAAGGGTCAAGCCCTTTCCCAAGAAACGTAGAAAGATGTTGTGAGTGAAAGAGAGAGTTTGTATTTATTTCAGACTGGATAAACATTAAAGAAAACAATCTTGTGATTGCAAATATTTTCCCCTTGACAACCCTTCAGTAATTTGCTTCCTCACATAAGGGAGCTTGCATCTGCAAGGCAAGCTTTTTAAGGATATGTTTAATTTAAGTTTTGCTATAATGTGTTTTAACTTGCTCGGTAGAAATACTTTCTGCTAGGATTAATATCTAATACATTTTCCAGGCTGTTTCAGTTCAGGGCCTCTTTTCAGCGATGGCTTGTGTTTGCAAGATTGATCCAACCTCTATAACGTGGATTTGAGACAGTTCACTGTTCACTGGGAACTGAGCTGATACATACTTTACTTGAAAATGCTGCGCCTYGTGCCTGGCCTGTGGTGTTCATCGAGGCTGTGCTTTGGGAGCTGGCGTGGTGTGTGCTGGGGCTTTTTCCTTAATAGCACTAAAGTTTAATGAAGAAGCTCTGGTGAACTGCCTTTGTCATTGAAGTGTGAGGGCCACAGCTCCTGGCTTAATGTTCAGCGAAACCAGAAATATCTGCTGCACTCCTTAATAGGGTTGTTAAGTTCAGTCCTTTGCTGACACAGCTGAGCTTCTCAAAACACCTCCACACTCAACATTTACTTTGCTTTCTCTTGAAATCAGGGGGAATCACTATGGAATATTTCTCTGCCAGCCAGAAAAAAAAAAGGCATTTGCATTTTTTAATTGAATGTTCTTTTGTGTGAGGCTCACTAGTTAGGCAGCTAAATATAATTTTTATTATCTTCAGAATTGCACCGGTGTGAGGCTGAAGAAAGTATTATTCACTTCTGCAATAATATTGTGTCAGCTCTCTGCATTGATTTAGAGTTCTTCATGGCTGATTTTGGTCAAACTTCCAAAAGCTGAAAGATCACAGACGCAGACCGAGCATCACTCTCAGCAGAAAAAAAAAGAATGGTTCTCAATTGCAACTGTGCAAACTTGTAACAGTATGCAACAATATGTAACAACAATAAATGTTGGTGTTTAGGGGGAAAAATGGTTTAGAATTGCAGGTTTTTTTTCAAAAGAAATTGAACGAAAAAGGTAGCATGCACTGGYATAGAACTAACACAGGATTAAAATCTGGAGCCAAGATTGAGGTAATTTGATTGTAGCCTTCATTTGTGCCTCTAAATTTTGGCATAGCCTAGAGAAATGTAGTATTTGGGTTTACATTCCCATTTCTAGAATGAGGAAAGTGCTTGTAATGATATAATTAAATTTCTGACATATTATCATTGTAATGWTAAGCAGCTTCGCAACAGTGTCCAGGCTCATGGTGTGCAAAATTGGCAGCAGTGCTGGACTGACGGAGTTCTGCCAATAATAAGAACAAGTCAACCATGCTTTCCTCATCACAGCTTGGTATTTATCCAAAAGTTGAGTTTTTTACACAACTCATCCATAAATGAATGAATTAATCTCTCTATCCTCTTCCTTTCTGATTGATACCACCTTGATTTTTTTTTTCACTTTGAAACAATAAAGAAAGACCTATTACATGAACAACTACAGTCTTGAAGACCAGCAAAATAGAAAACCAGCTATTATTATTTGCCTTTTGTTGGTGACATGAGTCCATGTTTGAGAGTGGCATGTCTAATGCAAGACATGAATGTTTACAAAGATTTGTGGCTGCTATGACACGTAAGATTGTTATGAACAGTTAACACTAATACAGGAGTAATTAATACTTGTGGAACTATTTGTGCTTTTCCAGCCTMATGAATGTGTTGTCACCAAATTAGCTATTTATATATGGTTCTAATTCAAGTAGCAGCTACCTGCTAACTATTGTGTGTGTTTTATCTTTACCCATTAAAATATTTTGACAAGTAAARCATGGGATGTTCTGAAAATATCGACCTTTTGCAAGTTTTTCCTGTCTGTGTTTTTTTAATCCATTTCAATTTACTAAAAGAGACAGAAGAAGGAGTTAAATGTTTACCATGAGAGAACAACATTGGTAATTACTTTGATTTCAGTTGCTTTTGATGTGTATTCATGGGATGAAGAGGTCAATAATATTATGACCATGCAAATAGAAAAGGGTTCTTTTTGACCATATAAAAAACAGCAAAGGATTATTAAAGCATTAACCTTGATTTTAATGGCCTTGGTTGAGAGCTGAGATCACAATTTGGATGAGCCTGATTATTTACTAAATACAATACATAAATGCAACGGGTTCTTAACACCCATTGCACTCTGGCATTATCGCATTACTGCCAGCCTTTGTTGCCTTGCAGACAGGAATATGAAAGCAATCTGTCATGTAGTGAGACTGGCTCCAGAAGCATTTCTCTGATAAGAAGACCCCCTGCCCTTTGCTAGTGTCTGGTCCAGTAGGCTTAGCCATGCGCTTAATCCCCAGAAAGTGGTTCGATTATTGCTGACCAGCAATGGCAAGATAGTTTTTTTTTCCCCTAGCTATCAACCTTCCATTAATTCCTTAAGCAGAAATGCGGTGCAATCTATATTTCCTTGGCATGTGTCACCCAGATGGTGCACTGCTCATGTTTTCAAATAACCATGCTCCAAATAACAGAGTTTGAATAATAAATTCCACAAATCCTTCCTGAGAAAGAGGCACAATTCTCAAGAGCTGCATAAACTTTACGCATGATGCTGTAGCTCATCCACATTATGCAGAAAAGTATATATTTCTTTTGCAAAGCAGATGTTTGTGTTTCCTTAATTTTGGGAGGAAGAAGAAAGATATATGTTTGCTCAAATGCTGTAGAATATATTTAATATTTGATTATGTCTTAAACACTGGCCTTAGCTCCGTGGTCAGCTTTGCAGAACTTGTCATTTAATATGGCTAAGCTTAAATCCTGTGTGGAGGTCGATGCTGTCAAGCAACCATGACTGTACATTTTGGTATTGATTGGAGTCATTGCAGTAAATTCCTTCTTAACTCATATTCCTTTCCATCCCAATCCCCTCCCCACAGATAAAAGTGTGAGCATGTCTTTCTGTCTGAGGAGATATTTTTCATGTTTACAGACAGCCTATATGAAGATATATATGTACGCAGTGCTCCGTGTATATATACATTCTTTCTCACACTTCCAAAGTAAATGCACCCATTTGCTCCAACTGTGCTGTTTTATCACCTCCAATATTTCCTGCTTTTTTTTTTTTTCTTCTTCCATCAGATTTCTTATGTTGATATACTTGGACCAGAAGGTAGAAGGATGAAGCGTCACCTGGCAATAAACAGTGTGCAAGATATGGTGATTTGCTGGTGGTCAGCAACCAGTGATGGAGCATGGCCTTGGTCTCCTATTTCCTGTGAGAGGGACAGAGCCAACCTTTTGCTGTTAGGCTGTGCACATGGCAAGTTGGAGGTAAAGTGATGAACTCTCTTGTTACATGTTTTTTTTTTTTAATTTTATTTTAAATTTACTAAAAAAAGAACTATTCAACTTAAATGCATACCCAAATAGATATAAAGAACACAGAGAATTAAAACATAAGATAAGAAGATCAGGCATCCTAATCTTAAAAACAAAGGTTTGTTATTTAAAAAACATATTTACTATGTTTACTATTTTCACATCAAAACTGTCAACCAGAGCAATGTAGCAGGGAAGTCAGGGCTTTATCATGGAATTGTTTTGGTGCTGCTGACAYTGAAAATAAGTATCAGAGTTCCACTTGCAAGCTTCAATCTGAGTTRGCAATTGTAACTGTTGCATGCATGTCTGATGCAATTATTTTACATTGTCTGCAATGYTGACTGMTAGRCATTTTACATCTCTTTCAAGGTGTKTTTCATAAAATATTAGCTATGCCCAGATGGTGTTTAAATTGTTGAGTATTGATCTAATCAGAGGCTGATTTTTTCAAAAAGGAAAGGTCAAAGCTCCCCATCTACAGGTGGGAGTGTAAGCTGTGAGTTAGGGCAAAGCTACAAGCTCATCCTCTTCCTGGCACCTGCCTAGCTTACCTTTTTTGGCAGATGTTTTCATTTCAGTTATTTAATTATTGTTTCAACTATGTAAGAATATTTGTATCCAGTTTGTCATGTTAGGTAGCAATACAAAAAACAAAGCTCTCAGGTCATACTCAGAAATATCTGGAGCCTGAATTTGAAATGTAAAAGCTTTTCTGGTCTAACATCTTGTACAGATGCTCCTGCATTTGGAGTTTTATTTTTGGTTTTTCTTTACCCACTTATAATATAGACTGGAAAGGCACTGACTGTGGGAGAAGAACACAAACTTGAGGATCAGCTGTGGAATAGCTGATCTGGATGAGATATTGTAGGATATTTCCCTGTAGGGAAAACCCCTAAGTAACACTTAAGAATAAGCTACTCTTACAAACAGCATCCCCCTCTCTTTAATTAGGGGAGATGTAAATGTTTTAATGTCTTGGAACCATTACTTCGATAACTAATGTTCATTTAAGTGAGATTCCTTTCCCTTGGGATTTTCTACCTATAGAAAGTGAAGAGAAAAGCTAGTTGAGACAGCTTTTCTTTTCTTATTTCTGCCATTAGTCACTGCAGAATTGAAGTTTAAATTACCTCCAGCTCTGCCTTCTTTACTTCTTTTCAATTGACCTCTCTCCACTTGCGGTCATCTTTGACTCATCTCTCTCCTCTGCCTGATCTACACCTGCAGTTCTCCATTCCCCCTGCAGCTATGCCAAATCACATAGAAAAAATTASTCTGGGAGCTAAAATGTGTGGCTGTTCTTTGTAAGCTTTTCCAGCCTAGTMCCTGGACCAGTTTGATATWRTGAARCTTCACCCTACTAACATTTCAGACMTTWTTTCTTACCATGACTTCTGTATGTCCAGGTTCTGACAATGACATTCCTTTGCCTTTTTATTTCCTTTCCTATACTTTCCAGAAATCTCCCTAATGCCACCATAGCAGTTCACACTCTCTGTTTCCTGAAATGTTTTTTTTCAAGGACTCCTTTCTTTCAAGAAATTCACAGAAATGACCCTGTCAGTTTAAAGCTTTCTGTTTCACTTTATATGTTTTTGGGAGATTTCCAAATCACAGCATTCCCCTTCATCTTTCAATACACCTTGTTCTATCCTTTTCTGGTTTAAACTCTAGTACAGTCCCAAGCACATCACAGATGATTTGTACAGTAATGATAATAAACATTCACTGAGGCTCTAGGCCTAAAGTCATAATCATTTTAATTTGGCCAAATTGTAAGAGAAATATAAGAAAATTCTTTGTAAGTGTGGCACTGGTTTCCCTTTTCTGATTCTTTGCCTGTACTTGTCTGTTTTAATTTTAAAATCTTCAGATGAAATTTCTTTTCCTGTATTTATCAATAAAATACCAAGCACTATGCCAGGGCTATGGAAAACTCAGTCACATATGAATAACAAACTGTCTTGCTGGTCATCCATTAGGCTGTTCCATGTACTCAGTTCAGGAAGGCTCAAATCACCCTGCCTATACACTTCACCTATAAATCCATGGCATGTCACCCATGGTACTGTTTGCTTGAGGTTGTTTGTTTGATTTCTCTAACGTTCTTTATGGGCAGGAGTTAAATTTCTGTGTATGGATGGGAGAACATCATAACCCAGCAGTTCTAGAAACAGCATCAACCCCCAATCTGCATTTAACTGAGGTACATCTTCCCCTGCAGTCTTGGAGGGGAAATTTACCTTAAGACCTTTGAGTTCTGAAGGCCATTTAACAGCTTAGACATGAGAAAAAAACATAGTTAGCATTTCTAGAGGGCTTGTAAACAGTTACTCTCCAGGTCGGGTACCACAAAAATACAGTGGTTTTGTTTCTTTGCTTCTAATCCCTTTCCCTTTGTAGTATTCCTCGGGTATAGATTTGAAATAAAAACAGGATATGCCATTGTTATTCATGAAAATCAATCCATATGATCAGTAAAATTATTTTACTCCCAGTAAAAGATTATTGTCAATAGAAGAAGGGTGAGAAGCATGAGCTTACTCAATTTAGAGCATTTATCAAAGAGAAGTGTAGTAAAATAACACCACCAACATTTTACTTGGAAATAGTACTATCAGTTGGATAAAACACCATTATCATCTAGAATTAAGAGAAAAACAGAAAATGCTGAATAACAAGACCATAAAGAGCTGTTTGGCATGTTGGGTTTATGAAGCCAAGCCTGAGGAAATGAATGGGTGCTCCCCAAGGCATCACCTCAGTGCTGACCTAAAGAAACCACAAAACAACCTGCCAGCTGCTGCCTCTGCTGTTCCTGGGGCTGAGCAGAGGCAAATGGGCACTTATTTGATACTATTTCCTGCCTGGAGGAATTTYCTGGGTGATCCTGGCTGCCCACCAGAACAGTTCTTATTAGGATGAGGACAGGAATAGCTGTGGGATGAGACAACTCAACCCCTCATCATGATCCTCACCTGCACCTACACGTTCTGTGTTGGGATGATTCACGCTGCCCATGGAATATTTGGGGTGTTGTGTACTCCAGTAGATCTTCAGCTTAAGGAAGGAAATGCATTTTACTTCTTAAACATTCTATAATTGGATTTGAATATTGGCACATGGCTTTATGTTTTGCCATTTACTATTAAGGCTACAGGTAACCACTATTCCTCTACAAACAGGAATAACTTTTCCTTGCAAATCTTGACTTCTTGTACTGGTTTTTGTTTTGTTTTTTTTCCTCTGAAATCACTATTTGCTATGTTGACTGCTGTTAGATTTGCTCAAGAATTGTCCCTTGAAGAAATAAAAGTGCTTTTCTCTTTAACACGTGACTGCCTCAGCATGCGATGCACATTGCTGCAGGGGTGTTTATCTTTGGACCTTTGTCTGCTTTCCTGTGTGCATGGATTTCCTCCAGCAAACTCACCCATTCTCTAATTTATTTATTTGATTATCAGAATTTTGTTTGGTTTATTTTGTTTGGGKTTKKTKGGKKTTTTTTWWAATGTTAAAGTATCAACGATCGAACAATGTTATTTAAATTGTCTCCCTGTGGAGATAATGCTGGYGTTTTGATTTCAAAACCAGAAGAGGAATCTTCCAGAAATTATTTCAAACAATTTGCTGYGAATGAATAGGATCTGATGTGAAATCATCTTTGGATTAAATGCTTTGGGAGAAAGTCRTGTTAAAATCAACATGAACTTTATTCTTCAAACACAAATTAACAGGAGGTGCTGATGCCAGGGCTCAGTTCCTGCAGCACTTTGCATTTGTCTTTGCCATTCTTATTTTCACTCCACTTAGTGCTAGTGGGAATGACTGAAATTATACTTCAATCTTGTGGAAAAAATAATTTCCCTGAGAGAGAATATTATTTTCCTTTCTCCCAAGAGATAATATTTAATAGTTATTGCTCTCACATTGTGCCTGGGATTTGTGAAATAAGCACAGCAGATCTTTTCTGTGTGAGCTGTCCTACAGTTACTGGAGTGCTCAGAAAAAATATCTACCCTGTGTGACAGAATGGCTGAAATTCCTCTCACACACATACAGCAAAGAATGTGAAATCCTCAGTGTCACATTGGGTTAGAAGTTCAATGAATAATATGGGATAAAGATGATGACGATAAATTTTGAAAGAAAATAAGAGTAAGTGTTGRCTGCAGATCTAAATAATAAGATTGCATGTAGGTCTGTAGATACAATACAGCCAAATAAGTAACATAGAGTAGGAGCCTTTCACTTTTATTTAGAAATGTTTTGAAATAGGGTGGTTTTTCCTTTCATCTTCACTGTGTTGTATTTAAAATTGTTTTACTCTGGTGTGCACCACACTTCCCACTTTACATTTCTAATTAAAATGTTTGTTGCTATTTGGAACTTCACCGTGTGAAATTAAATGAGCCCTTTTATAACATCCATAAAATAAATCAAACATTTTTTTTCTCATCTGAAAGACACACAGTTCAGTCACAGCAAGCTTATTTCTCTGTTTCTTTTGTTTTCTTTTTTTTCATCTGCCTGGTAAGCCAATTTTCTGCTTAAGAACTACTGGTTAAAACTCTTACTTGTTTTGATATGTGGACTTTATCCCTTCCCAGCACTCTAYGCAAAATACTTCAATTTTAAGTGTTCAAAGATTTTCACTGAGAAGAGTGATACTGCCCACACAAGACAGCGCTATTATTTCTCTCAAACATAAAATGAAAGCGAGTGTTTTAAATAGCATAGCAGGCCTCTTATTTACAAAGATTAACAGATTCCTTTGCTTGGATTGTTATGATTCCTGGCTCTAGGATTTGAGAACGTGGCATTTATAGCATCCCTCGTGCTGCTGATGAGCTGATGCAGAGCCCAGGCCAATACTGCAAGGGGAAAACAATAGAAATGTGCAGTAGTGGTGCATGACTGCTACAACAACAAGGGAAATGTGTATAAATTACATGGACAGTATTTAAATGCATATACTGTATTTTTTTTGTAACGTTCATGTGATAAAACCTTTAAGATTTTTAAATTTTTATGTATTTATTTTAAAGAAAGTAATTGGTTTAACTTCATGTAAAATACTTCCAGAAATCTTTTATTGAAATACAAAGCTAAATGCTTAGTCCAAGCAGTATTTGACATTAACTCTACACCCTGCCATGAAATTACCACTCTGTCTTTTCAGATCTGTCCTGCTGCCTCCTTCACAAACCTAGCATTTGTTCTACCATTTCTGAGGAAACTCCTCCAGCTTTTGCTTTCCCATTCCACAAGCAAATGCTTTGTTAAATATTTTAACATCACCTTTTAGGGTTCCAGAGAACTGCTGCTCATCAGGAAGGAATCTCAGCGGATCCCTTTAAAAGGAAAGCTAAGGCTCTGTATGCACTACATTTACCACCATGTGGCTACTTACCAGACAGAAAAACAATTGGCAGAATACCATCTTCTTGGGAAAAAGRAGTTTTGATTATTAGACTTCATATCTCTCAAAAAGATTTTCTTAGAGTTATTAATGTTTCTGTTGTTGTGTCTCTGCATTCGTTTTCCTGTTAGTGGCATGAAGAATGAATAATAAAACTAATTTCTGACAGAGAAACCCAAATTGTCCCTGTCAGATGAAAGAGAATATTCATTTTTCCTCTTCAGAATGCCAAATACCAGTTACATTCAGCAGAACTGGAAGGCAGAACAAAGAGGTCTCGGCTTGGTTCTCTTCCTGCAAGAGGCACATGAGGCCACTGATGCATGAGAAGAAGCAGCTTATCTGTTCCAATCTAAGGAGAAATGTTTCTCTTCTTTTCAGCCAGAATATGAACTGTCTAGAAAGTGTCTGGAAAGGTTTCCTTTAAGCCTTGTGTGTTCCAACATTATGCCAAAACTTACGTTTTGAAAGGCAACAAAGAGTTTCTTTCCTTGCAGGAACTTTTTCCTAATTCAGGATTGTGTTATATGCATCAACCAGCCCTACCCTAGACTTCACTCCAAGGATTTGCTCTCAAAATTATGAGAAGCTAGGAAGAGTCTCATCTCAAGACTCATTAGTCTTCCAAAATGCAAGATTTTACTTCCTTTTAAATTCAAGATAGTGRTCATAATTTTCTCCTTCTTTTGCTCTAACAAGGCAGGAAGAAATTATGAATTGAGTGCAATTTACTTGCTGACTCCCCARTAATCACATGGCAACATTTATTTCTTTGTGACTGTTTCCATTGCTGTTTTCCTCCAGTCACTCCTATGGAGTTATGAAATCCAGGTTTCACATATTTTCTACTCTATTGCCATAACCTTCAAGGCCAAGCTCTCTTCAGAATTTTATAGTGCTTTCATTCTCTCTTCTGTCATAGGCTTGATTACYGTGTGGATCTTCATGACTTTCTTGTAGCTTTTGAAGAGTTGTCCAGAGAAAAATACTGGTTTGGGGTCAAAATATGTAGCAGAATTATGCAGTACATTGAAACCTGCCACAGGAAGACAGAAATCTTAGTCCCAGAGGGCCTCAAGGCTCATTTCACTGAAGTTATGGAAGCTTTGAAGACTTGCTTGGGCAAGATTTCTGTTTCACACATTTGAAAGGGAGCTACCTGGGTGTCTATGCCTACTCTTCAGGAAAACAGCAGAACAAACAATAACACTTCACTTTATTTGGGGTTAGAGAACTCTGTGGTCATAGTAATCCTTTGTCCACAATAACCTCTTCTAGGAGTTTCCTTGCCATGCAATTTAACACCCTAATAAGTTCACCTCTGCAGCTCTAACATCTGCACAGTAGCCATTGCAATGTTTTGTGGGCATAAAATGACTTATTGCAGAGGTCAAGCCATTGGTGAGGGAATGGTTGAGGTGWGAAAATATTTTTCAGGCTATAAAAGTACTGTAATCTTTTATTTCCTCTTTGAAATATATTTTCATGGGTCTTTGTTGAGATTGGTTGATGTGGTTTTCACAGGTTGGGCACATTGGCTTCTGCATTAGGTGCCTTTGCATTAAGTGGTTCTTTGCACATCCTTAACTACTCATCTTTAAGTAGTAAATATTAACTAATATTTATAATTAAAAATCATATTAACTTCAGCTGGTTTCCAGCCGAGAATTGCAATAATCCCCTTTTTTCTTTCTTTTGAATGAGAAACCCTTTTGCTGACAAAGTAAGTAAACTGTCAGAACAAAAACATCCTAATCAGCCTGATCAACATCCCAAAAACTTGTTTGGAAATTTATCAGTTACTTCAGAAGTAATGGGTGGTATGCCAAAAAAATCTGAGTTTCTTATTCTCCTTTGCAGGATGAAAGGCTAAATTGCWTGTTCAGTTGGTCTTGTGATCTGTGGAAATCAAATTTAAACTGCTCCAACATTATGTGTACCTTTTGTTTTCAACCTGAAATGTCCAGATTTCCTTCCTCACCCTCTCTCTACCTTTTAATCACACTTTTTACCCCTTCCTGTGCTCTCATACCACCTGGACCCAAGTAGCTTCCAACAGTTGTTGCAAGGCAGCAACTTTAATTTACAGTGAAGATTTCTGTGAGTATTCCCGAGGGCAGGATTCGGCTCAGGTTCACATTTTCCTTTCAGTCTTTATTTCTGCATGAACAAACACCAGCAAGTTCCTGACYGACTTCCACTACTCTCATTCTTCTAAAGACACGGGTTTTCTCAGTTTTTTATGAAATATCTTTTCATAAGCTCACCTATAACTCGTTTACAGGTGGTTTTCCTCCCACGGTTTCACTGCTCAAATCCTGTGCATCACCTCTCGTTCAAACCCATTTATCCCATGAATCTTCACTGGTCTCCACTGCTGCCGCCACCACTTAGGGGTACTTCCCATATTTCCACACTACAGATTCTTGCTTTTTGCCAGCTGCTGTCTTTTTATCACATTCTGCCTTTGTTTTCTTCCTCCCATTTGTTCAACTTTCAAGTATCCCATAACAGTCTCCCTCTTTCTGCTATCAGAAATTAATTTATTCTGCATCTAAAGTTGTGTGGCACCGAAGAACATCTACCACCTACTCACTTGGCAGTGTACAGTAGGTGCTGTTTTAACATGCCATTGTTTCTACCACCACRGTGTAATATTTTCTGTTACCATGGCCCAGAGCAAATGATCAAAAATCCTCTATGCTCGATACTCAGAGTAACCTACTATRGATTTTTCCAGGAATTYTGGGATTTCTACCCACCCCACTTGTGAATAATTAATTACTGTTTTGCATCAGTCAGCTGCTCTTTTCTCCTTTTACCACGGATTAAGACCATGCCCTCTTTTATCTTCTGTTCTTCTAACCCGTTACATAGGTCCAGACAAACAAATACGGTTTATAAAATACTGCAGGGTTTTTAAAATCAAATGAACAAACCTTTTCAAKGTTCAAAGAGTAGATTTCAGAATTCTGTTTTGATAATGTCCATTTGTGACCGACCCACAGGAAAGCGCATTTGCAGCAGTAWGAGTGAATGGTTACTGTTGCCTTGAAAGGCCAGTTTTTAGTAATGACACAGACAYGGTTAAGGGGATRAAAAGGGTTTTACCYCGGTATTTGGGATYCCAGGTGCACAACTTGATGGCAGAATGCACMCCCGTGTACAGCACGGRTACAAGTTTTATAGGGTTCAGGAATTAGCRTATCTATCTAGGATTCCCCAGTAAGAAACTTMACAAATGCAGTAATGTCCCCCTATTCTAATGAATCCCCCCCTGGATGAGGCYAGAGCYTAGTTTATACAAGATGTTCCAGAGAGGAGGCTTCACCCAAGSCTGGAGCYTCGGGTTTAAGAYAGCACARGGYAYACTGACWCCTTCCTCAGGATGTTTGGTCTCTCTGCCCAGCAGARYTCCTAAACTAAGSTGGAATATCAGSGTACAGGAATTACAARCATGTGGGCTAAGGGGTGCAGGGGAATGCATGGAGGGTACAGAAAGCGTAAAAAGGAAAARSAAAAATMAYMAGGCATCATACAAATGRGTAGCTTTGTGTTTTTGCCAGGTGCTGAGTTACATCCGCACGGAGTGGGATCTCCTGGATGCCCRGTTCAGCTCTCTGCAGCCCCAGCAGGTGCTCACGGTGGAGCTCTCGGTGTCGGCAGCCAAGGAGCCCATGGCCGACAGYTGCGTCTACAAATGCGTCCGGAGCAGAATCCAGTGCGCCTCCATCACCAGGATCCCCCTGAGAGCCAGGGCYGTCAGCTGCTGCAGGGATGGGACAGAAGACAAGCTGGTGCTGGGYTGTGAGGATTCCTCAGTGGTTCTGTAYGAAGCCTACAACCAAGTGACTGTGYTGGCCCAAGCGGAGCTGCTCCCTGCCGTGATCGCGTACCACCCCTCCGGAGCCGTGCTGCTGCTGGGCAGCTCRCAAGGGGAGCTGCAGCTCTTTGACACAGCTCTGTCCCCCATTAAAATCCAGCTCTTGGCACAGGACTATTCACCTGAGGCCACGCTGCAGTTCAGYAAACACTGTGAGGTGCCCACCAGCCTCATCCAGATCCAGTGGGCTGCTCCTCCAGTGTCCCTTGTGAGCCCTGACTGCTTGGATATTCACGACCTTTTGTTGGTTAGGTTTGACAAAGGACCCTTGGCAGTGCTTCAATTTAAATTTGGTAAGTTACTGAGCACATCTGTTGAACCTTGAGCTCTCAAAGAAACATCTATGAAGTCTGGAACACCCTCATTTTAGATATATGAGACCATAGCCTTCAAAGTAAATTGTTTCAAAGATATCTGAAGATACCAAGGATTTTTTTTATGCTTCACGGTAACTTTTATACCTTGATAAGAATAGGACCCCCATCTGCTGTCAGGTCAGCATCCCATAATGTTCCTCTCCACTTCAATAAGGCATAACAGTTTCTCACCTGGAAAATTAATTTAATCTGTAGTACATAATTTTAGGAGTTGTATTCATTCTGTAGTAATAACCCTAATAAGCTAAAATAAGCCATATTTAATAATAGAATAGTAATGCTGTTTTCTTTGCCAAATTTTTTTTTGCATGTGTGATCTGTATTTGTCCAATATTCTGTTCTTCCTGGCTTCAGTGCATGAAGTTGCACCTTTTTCTTCCTTTCCACAGAAGAAGGTTGATTTTCATAACCTTCAGAGAAGCTTGGTCTCTCAATTAATTTGCCAAGAGTTGTGAATAAAAGAAGAAGTAATAATGCTAATTTTAAAATTTACATAGCACTTCTCATTTTAGGTGTAAAGAGACTTTAAAAGAGTAAAACCAGAACGAACTTCCTTATACAAGCAGAAAAACAAGAAGGAGTAAAGGAAAGCTAAAGGGCTTTACAAGAGTTACACAGTGGCTGAACTAAGAATAAAACCCCTGCAGTGGTTCATCAGTGAGAACTGTATTCATTTCATTCAAGTCAGGCAAGTTACAGTGGTGCAAACCCATTGTGAGAGCTAAAAAAACAATCATGCTTAAACCCTCTGACTCCCCAGCCAGTGTTTCAGCAGGGCACGCAGCCATCCTGGAAAATTTCAGCATTCTGCCCATTGTCTGTCCAAGAAAACAGGATTACTTCTGTAGATCTTTTTGGGAGTTTTTAATTATTCTTTTCTATAAAGCTGTTGAGATTAGGAAGAAGCCTTTTTTATTTAAAAAAAACAAAAACAAAACCCAAAACCAAACAACACTCCAAAAGACTCAAAACAGCAACTTAGGTGATAGTAAGATTTGAAAACCTGTTTTATTTCTTCACTCAATGAGACACACATGTACTTTTGTGGGGAAAAACCTGTCTAAAATTACCATGGACTTAGAAATTTGAAAGACTGAACTAAAAAAATTTAAACAAGTGTGCCACTGCAAAAAGGTAAATGACTCTAATAAGATGTTAGCACCAAAAAAATGTTGGATTGACTTATAGTTGTGCAGTTTTAAAAAAGCTGATCCAGATTATTGCTGTTATCCAAAAAAAAAMCCCCTATTTAAAAACCCATTTACAGGTAATAATTTATTTTGAGATAATTAGCTGCATTAAGTTCAATGACAGGTTTAATAGTTACAGAGTACCCCAGAACACTAATTATAACAGCTATTTGATGTTTTTGTGCATGTTGGCCATTTTAAAAAGAATAAACCCTCTAAATTATCTCTGTCCTGATTTGGCTGGGATGGAGGAGAGCAGGAGGCATTCTACCCACCTCTACCTTGCTTTTCTTCRCTCCTCCCTGGTGAGGTTTTCTCACAACAGCTTTCCAGAAAGCCCAGCTTTCCCCTTGCTATCTTTAGCACATTTATGTTCTTACCAAGGCAAGCAGGCTCTCAGTACAGGGATTTAGAGGCCTTTCCTGCTAATTGCCAGCTTGTAAACTTAATTGGACTGTCTCCCTGGGCACCGTTCCTAAATCAATTAGGCAGTGAGTTGGCTGTCACCTCTTTTTCCCAAGCAGGTTGCCTGGAAGCTCACCACCCAGGAGAAGTCAAGCATCCAAATGGGAAGATGTTGACCTCTACAGCTGAAAGTTATCACATTTTAAAAATTCATTCTGTATAATTACTGTAAAATCTCTGCTAGGAAGGAGGCAAAGCTCTCTCCCTTCTTCCCTCTCTCCCTCTTTGTAGTCCATCGTGCAAAAATATGCTGCTCTCTATTTCATCCTGGTTTTCTGCTTTGCACCTCATCTCCTCAGTTTACCACGCTGCCAAGGGAACACTGTGTTGATTAGTGAGCCTCTCTTCACAGTCTCAGCAGTTTTTAGGTCTCTGCTGTTTAAGAAATAATGCAGAATAAATAAACAAATTAATTAAATGCACTAATAAATKATAGCGAAAATTTAGGGGCCCATGACAGCAAGACCCAGACAGGCATTCAGGACTGAAATAAAATCCATGAATAACACATGGCTTGGAATTGTTTTYCACAGAAGTCTGTTAAGAAACTGTGTCAGTGACAATAAGCAAATATGATTTTAACTTCCAGCTACATTATGGTTTTGGAGAAGTTCTGTGAATCTCCATTGTGCTGTCTATCCAGATTTATTTCAGGAAAAGATTCATATTAAACCTACCCTCTAACACCAATAGCAAATATTTTTGGTGTCTAATGCCAAAATCATTTCCAAGAGCAGCTTCTTGTCATTGATGCCAACACAGATCTCGGATAGTGCCAAATGTGGTACTGATGCCRGTGGTTCAGCATTGCTTCTAAAGGCATTTTAAATATAATATTATATTTAATTAACATAAAACAAGTATTTTCATCTTTGCTGAGAGATTAATGTGGAGGTTCCCCAGCTTCTGTAAGACTTCAAAAACGCTACATATTTAGGAAGAATAACAATTAGATATTAACAGGTTAAACATGGCTGTTACCCACTGTAATGTCCACAGGCTTTAATACATGCAAATATAAAGTGAAATACAATAGAGAATCTTTCTTTATTGATGCTAAAAAAAAATTAGTATTTCTGTTACAAAATGTAAATATGTAAGTGTTTTGTTTTCCCAAAAACATTAGTTCTCAGCAGGTTACTTCTCCTCAAGCTGTAGTCAGATGTTTTCCTCCATTTTTTTTCCTCATTTCTTATTTCACATCACAAACAGTATTAGCAACATTTATTAAATATTTGTGAGGTATGTTTTATATAAATCAGATCTGCTTTTCTCTGTTATCAGACTTTGTTTTCCACAGCCAGTCCTATGGTTTTAATATCAGTATTGAAATTTAGCTTATTCCCTTTCTCATCAGAATTTTTTCCATAAGTTTGGTTTCAACAAACAACATCAGAATACAAATTGAGAAAAAAACAAAAAACAAAAAAAACAAACAAACTATGTTTTGATTTAGAGAAACAATAAATTTATATTGGTCTCTTTCTAATGTTTGGAGGAGTACTGATAAATACTCTATCAGAGCGATCCAAAGTGAGCAGGACTTGCTAAAATGCCATGTGTGGCCTATGTCACATGATCAATTGKTTAGTCAGAGACAACAAAGAACATTTTTCAGTCACCTTTTCTGTTCAGAAGCTGAGATCTGCAAGTCAGGAAACATTCTTGTGACAAACTTATTCTTGATTTCATGGGGGACTGTAATTCAAAGGTCTGTAATATCAAGATGTGGCTAACTTCCACGGTGTCTCCTCAGAAAAAATGCTGCACTTAGAGAATATTGCTTAGAAAAAACTATAGAAACTAGAAGGAAGGTCCAGAGCAGCTGCAATCTGGAGAATAATTGAGTAAGAGTTGCTTTGAGATTGAGCTGCTCTACATTTGTCTCATACAGATCCAGCTGTTTGAGACAAATGCTCGGGTTTGGTGCTGTCCAGCAGTGTTTCCCTGCAGGAAGGAGATGCTGTGAAAGTGGATTTATTACCTACCATGCAACAGTGATAAACTGCAAATAAACTTGTTCTACGTTGGCTAAGCCCAACTTCATTACATGATGTTGTCACCAGTGATTTTTGGCTACATTTATTCAGCCTCCATTCAGCCACATGATGATTCTTTGCTGTCCAGCACCCTCAGTCTAGGTATACAAGATAGAAAGGTGCTGTCTCATATTAAAAAATTAATATTGAAACCCATCAACTTAATTTTAAATGATAACAATTATTTTTAACTGTGCTGAAAAGTAGTCAGCTAGAGTTTTACATATTCTCTATCAAAATAGAAACCCATTATCTCTGGTTGTAATATTTCTTGTTGAAGGTGTGTTCACAAGAGGACAACTGGGCCTCGTGGAACTCATCCAGCAGTACATTCGTTATGATGAGATACAGGAGGCAATTAATGTCCTGAGCACCATGAACTGGAACACGATGGGTGCACGCTGCTATATCTGCCTGAGTGCCATTTGCAACCACCTTCTTAAACAAAAGCTTACACCAGTCAGAGAAGGTAAGAAACTGCTCATATTTCTAATGCATTTTCGTGGTGTGTTGGTAATCCAGGTGTGGATTAGGGCAATATATTTATTGGCTGTATAAGGAAGACAGGAATGAGAATCCAGCCAGCCAGCCAGATTATTGTGCCTCATAATGTCATTGTGGACAAGTCATTTCTATAAATTCTGGACCAATGTGTTGACTACATTTTAGTTTGTATCAATAGAGACACTAAAATAATGCATATGGTAATGTATATATTTATATATAATGTGTATATGTATATATATGTGTATATCCTATAGGCATTACTTTATATAAAGAGCACTAGCATTAAATTATGTAACTTCATTACATTCCATAAATTTAACTTGTGTTGAAGACAAATGTTAGTTAGTATAGAATTGAAATGTCTGTGTTATATTCATKCTGTTACAGCACCAACTTAAGGAGGGATGTTTYCCTGCAACAGGGACAAGAGGTTTTAGTATTTTTTTTTAAGGTGCTTTCAAAGGGTCATTCTTTCATTACAAGATGCAAAGGCCTTGAATACACTATCCTCTGCTGCCTCCTTTAGGATTAAAGCATTTGTCCTCACTGTAATCYAGCCCCCTGCAGCAGTAGCTGGGGTCCCTCAGAAGAGATGATGAGTTTTAGGTTTAGCCCCATCTCTGCTGAAGCCTGGTGTGGTGCCTTCCTCTTGATTTGCTATCTATCTTAAAACTCAACAGACTTCAAGATTCCAAGTGCCTTGATTTAGTGAAGGTGTTATCCTCCAGTCTAGCAGGCAGACAGCTGGAGATCAGGCATCTTTTGTGGCAAGAGAGAATACTTAGGATTCTGGTGTGTTTGATGATAGAAAAACGCCAAGGTGTCCTACATTGCTGCCAAGCCATCAGCAATCCCATTTTGTGGGATCTGATTAAAAAAATCTCTGCGTTGCAAACAAAACGTATAGACTCTAAATAAAACATGTTTTGAAAAGGACCTGGGAAAAGGGCTGACCATGAAACTCTTCTAAAAATATGTACATTATAAACAGATGTCTGTGTGTTTCCCCCATGCAGCTCCCTAACAGTGTAAAGCAGAAAGAATTTTATGCCGTGCAGGAGTTATTCTATCTGAATCTAACAAATTTGGCATGGTAATTTGTTTTCTTTTTTATTAACAAAACCCAGTGGGGCCTTTTATTTATAGTGATGGGGCAGTTATCTTTGAGATCTTTATCCTGCCTTCWACATCAAGCTGGGCTATTTAATGAATGTATAACTGTGCTAGTAGTTACTCATATTCCATGTTGGTTGAAATATTTCWGAAGTACATAACATGCTGTCAAGAAAACAGCAATGGCAGGAGAGTATGGTTTGTTTTTCTATTTTAATCTAAATTGACTGCTGTTTTGAARGAAAATACCTTTCAAGTTCAACTTATCTTGCTATCTCGATTGGAGATAGCACAAAACTAATTTACTAACAGTTTGCCTGTGTAACTAACACAGTACTATTAGCACATTTAGTACTATCAAGCCTAATAAAATAARATGTAACTATGCTTGGAACTCAAGAACCATTATCACTAAGTACAGAAATGCATGGTTCAAACAAACATTAATAATGGCAAATCAATGAGATTCTGTCTGCCTAATGAGACAATAGGTTATATTCTGCTTTTAGAGCAACATAAATATACAGCAAATACATATATAGCAAATTGTCCCATTTCTGCCTGTAAGGCTTTGTACTATGTTGTTACCTCTCAAGTGAAAGCCAAAGAGCATAAATATTATTGATCATATAATTTCCTTTCAGCTCAGCATGTGAGACACAAAAGTATACTGTAAGTTTACTTGTATTATTTATAATTTTTTATTAAAAACATGTAGAAAAATGCCTAAGAGCTTGAGCTGTGGAGTACAGCAGTCAGAAAGTATTTAAAGAGAGAACTTGTGTAACAAAAGGGCTTTATTTTATTGATTACAAGGGAGGTTATCCTGTTTCCCACCACTACATGCTGTCAAACCCTTAGGGTTTCTAGACCCTTTTATTWAAAAATTTTAAAGAACTGTGGGCYGAAGGAGGTTCCTTAGACCTCAAGGCCATCACAAAGAGGGTTCTGTTACCCGCTGACCTWACACAATAATCCCTGAAAAACTGAACTCCCTTGTTGTTTGCCTAAGAGGACAAAGACGATTTGAGCTAATTGAGAGTTGATCTCCACTGGACAATCTTGTTCAAACTGTATTAGTCCCATGAGTCACTTTTAGTTGTAGGCTGCTGGTGAGAACTTGATGTGTTATAGACTTCTTTATCCTTTTGATAGCTTTTGTTGCTCAAAGTCATTGTCAGCTCTGCCTCCAAGCCAAAGTTAATATGCACATTTGTGTTTGTACAATCTGTCATATTTTAATTTCATCTGCCCTACAACAACGCCGCATTTCGTCACTGTTTGAGGAATTTGACTGACTGCAAACACGAGCAACCTGTTGTAATTGAAACTAATTCACTTGTTTCATGGCTGCTGTGCTTGAATTCCACAGCACAGCTTGAGGCAAGCCTTGGAACCTTTTATGCTCCAAAGAGGCCTCTCTTGGATARAACTGTGCTGGAGTACAGGGACCCCATCAGCAGATATGCAAGGAGGTTCTTCCACCACCTGCTCAGGTGAGTGACAGTTTCAATGTCTATCAAATTAAAATTAATTGCATATTTCAATAACTACCCGCTTTAATGTGGTTAAGGTTTTCCAAGAGGACCACCCCTGAAAAAAAATGCATTCGCTGTTAATGTTTGTTTAACTTGCACTTTGYTCCTTTCAAACAGAGTGATGCAGATAAAGTGCTATTCAGAGCTCTTCTGTCATCAATACACTTAAAATGAATCACCCTTTCCCGTTTAGCTTGATAGAAAAARAGATAACGTGCTTCTGAGAGATTGATATTCACCAACTGCTTGCAGATTGCATATTGAAAGAGCTTACAAATTTGTAGAAAACACTGAGTTTAAAAATATGCTGGATCACAAAAAAGTTCTGTATGGTCCAAGACATTTTTGTCTTTATACCGATGAAATCTGAATATTTTGTTATTCTCACCTTTAAAATTCTCATATATAAATTCATGTAGTTCCAGCAATTTTCAGTGCCATTAAAATAAGGGGAGWAAAGGCAATGTTGGATTTGTCTGTAAATTATTTAGAATMATWGAATGGTTTGGGTTGGAAGGGRCCATAAAGRTCATCTCATTCCAACCCACCTGCCATGGGCAGGGACATYTCCMAYTAGCCCAGGSTGCTTCAGGCCATATCCAACCTGACTTTGAATATTTCAGAGATGGGACATCCACAAATTCTCTGGGCAACCTATGCCAGTGCCTTGTCACCCTCACAGTAAAGAATTTTTTCCATATATTTAACCTAAATTTTCCCTCTTTCAGTTTGTAGCCATTTCCCTGTCCTACCCTCACAGTTCTTGACAAAGAGTCAACCTTCCCTTCTCCAGGCTGAACAGCCCCAACTTCCTCATCCTGTCTTCACAGGGGAACTGCTCTGATATTCATAACACCAAATTCAGCAAGAATTTATAGAGCATTGGTTTACTGTTGTATTTTTCCTTGCAAATAAACCAGTAATTTAAATTTCAATCCATTTTAAATATCAATACACAGCAGTTTAACCTCTTCACAGATATAGCTGAGACATTCCCTTGGTGAATTATCCTCGGTGAAAATAAGGAGAAATTACCTTCTGAATGATAAAATGTTTGTAAAACTTTGTTGAGAAGGAGTRTAGATGGACATAGTGAGAAGCCTGGCAATGCCCCCCTTTTCAGTGATTCATCCAGATTGCGTTTACATTGTTTCTACAGGCAGAACAAGTTGATAACACAGAATGTGCTTTTTTAAAAATCTAAAAGAAGAGTGTTTGATGTTGTCTTCTACATTTTGAGTCTGAGGAGGATCATCTTTCTGGTAAACAGGCCCATTCCAGTGGGGAAATTATTCCTTGTAGCAGAATGATCCAATATTTGCATAACATGCACCAGTCTTTCACTGGAGTTTTCTTAACACACGTGGCCACAACGGTGGGTACAAACTCAGCTCCTGCCTTTCTCCTAGAAACCAGCAGGGAAGATGCTGCTGTGGCAGTGGCCAGCTTGCAGTGGCTGTGGGCCAGCTGTCTGCAGAGGACAGATGCAGAAAAAATGCTGCAGAGATTGCTGAGAGGTATAACCCCGGTGCTCTTACATCTGCAAGAGAAARGTGCATTCCCTCTGACTCAGGATTTGCTTCCAAGTGCTAGCAGGCATGCAGAGGCATGGGGCCCTGGCTGAGCTGCCAGCCCTTGGGGCTGCAGCTGAAACACTGACTCAACTCTCCTAAAACAAGAACCTTCAGTGTCAGAATGCTGCCTGGACAGCGTGGGGCACAGGCAGGAGGTGTGCACGAGAGTCTCCTCACGTCTTTCACCTCCCACTGCAAAGCAGCCCTTGAACAATTTACAGTTGTGGTGATTTTTGAAACGAATGTGTGTTATTTTGCTGTTTTCCTGTCGTCAAAGGGATTTGTATTCAACCAAATCAAAGGGATAGGATCATGTGATTGCTGCAGAACAGATGGTAATGCTTAAAGCTTATCTCAGAAGACATAACCTAAGTGCAAAATTAAATGTTCAAATATGGGAGATTTATCTGATAGAAAGCAAAGAAATGATGTTCAGAGCCGATCATTATTGCATTAAAGTGRCTGTGCCTTAATTGGTGTTTATTTCCTTTTAGATGCCTTCTTAAGTGACTAGAATGGTTTGAATGTAGGCTAAGCAGAGAGAACTGCAGATTTGYTGGGGAATGGTGAACCATGGCTGTGGGTGAGTGAATGCCACCCAGGCATGATGCAATGTCTGGGAGGATCATAGGGAAGCACAGTGCTGCCTGATTCAGGCACATGAGAGTTGCAGCTGCTGCTATTACCTCTGTCTGTCATAGGCCAGCAAGTTGAGGCACTTATGTCAGTCTCATTTACAGCTGGGGGTTCAGAACAGGAGGAAGAGTGGGAAGGGAATTGTGCTCTTGCCTTCTCAGGTYACCGTGATGTACCCATGGGGACACTGAAAATGGGGAGTTCTTCTCACTCCCTGTTTATCAGGGACAGTGACCATACCTGGGGGGCAGGAAGCCCACATTTTAAGTTCTGTGTTCAGTTTTATGTTCTCTGCAGTGCCCTGGCAGCCAGGAGGGTAACTTGGTTTGTTAAACCTGGAGAAGAGAAGGCTGAGGGGAGACCTCATTGTAGTCTTCAGGATCCTCAAGAGGGGAAGTGGAGAGGCAGGCACTGATCTCTTCACTCTGGTAACCAGTGACAGGACTTGAGGGAAYGGCCTGAAGCTGTGTTGGGGAAGGTTTAGGTTGGAAATTAGGAAAAGGTTTTTCACCCAGAGGCTGCCTGGGCACCACCAGGCTCCACAGGGAAGTGGTCACGACACCAACTCTGAGAGAGTCCAAGAAGTGTTTGGACAATGCCCTCAGGCATAGGGTGTGATTCTCAGAGCTGTCTTTGATGATCCTTGTGGGTCCCTTCCAGCTCAGTGTATTTAATGTTTCTACAATTCTACTATTTGAATTACTCACTATTTTACCCTCATTCATTTAGCACTGAATACCTGCAGGCAAGTTACAAATAGCTAATGTATCTTTTCAGAGTGCATTTTTTTTTTGTCACAATAGATGTGTCTGCATGACCAAACCAGAAGACTTGGATGCAGAATCCTGTAAACTGAGATTGTCAACTTGATGCAGCATTAGGGGACATTTTTTACCCTTGTGAGCATGAGGAGACAAAAGCAAAGTGATCACTTTGTACCCTACTGCAGCAAGAAGTGGAGGAAATGTAGTGCTTTCTAAATTATGTGCAGTAAAATTGTGGCTGATATTCAAAAAGTATTTCTTGGCATTGAGTAGGACCTTCTGCAATTCATTTGGGCTTTAGAAAGAGCAAGCAACAGATTGACAGAAGTTRAATCTAGATGACAAGGAACTAAGGAGAGGAACTCAGAAGTTTGGTAGGAAGAGTCAGGGAAGTGGGGTTAGGAGCACTAGTAGAAGAGAAGGCATTGGGGAAAAAGGTCTAAAGGCAGGTTTGGGAAGGTACAGAGTCCTACAAAGGGGCAGAGGGGCAGTACAGGGCCACATGGGGAAAGGCAGCTTAGGATGTGTGGGGTGGGCTGTAGAGGAGACCAGGGATGGACAGGGAAGGGTGGAGTCTTTCTTACAAGATTAAAACACTTCAATGTTTCTAGATCCAAATCTGAGAAATGTTCATATAAACAAATGTTTTCACCCCCCCTCTCCAGCTTTTTTTTTGAATGCCCCACCAATCTGCCTTAAGCCTTTTTAGAAGGACCAACTCAGGGGAGAGAAATATTAATTCATTCTACATGCTGAGACAGTCTTTGACCTGCCTGCTGAGTCTGCCAAAAAGGTGCCAGTTATTGTTGTACTTTTAAAGATGTGTCGGTATTTACTGGAATTGAGAAATACAGTTACCTTTTCAGAAAGGCTCCCCTCACCTAGTGAGAATCATGTGTCTGTGATCTCACTCTTTACAGTAGGKCTAAAGGTTGCATATTCAGTTGCAAATAACTGGGGGCATCCATTTTCACATTTTCAGGGAGATTATGGGCTATCTACTTTTCTRCCATCAATGAGGTCAGCTTCTAGAATGCACTGAATTCTGTGGCAGCAGACTCCCTCTCTGGCATGGGAACACTTTAGAAAGAAGATGCTCCATCCAAGCTGAGATGGGCAAAGGAACACTGACAGCAAGACGGAAGCAGATTGCAATTAGAAGCAAGGAAAATGCTTTGCAATATATTTGACTCAGCCATGTTATTTGTATCCATCATTATAAAAGCTTAGTTCTTGTATTTGCAAACCACACATCATCTTCAGCTTCCACTAAAACAGAAGCTTAGAGCTTTGCAGGTATGGCAAATGTAAAGTATGGAATACCTCCAAAAAACAAGCGTTCAGTATACAAAATTAAAATTAAAAGCCTCTTAATTACATGCCAGGGATCCATTACAACAGTATTTATAGAATGAATAATTATTTTCACTCTAAATTCTTATCTATAATTAAAAAATACAGGAACTGAATTACAACTACAGAAATGTATCTTAGGTGTTCCTTGCCACCTCAGTAGCACTCTGGCATTTTATTATGATGTCACTGCCTATAAAAATGCAACGCATTCGATCATTATGTAAAATGTTGAGCAGAGGTGGATTTATTGGGGAGCTGCAACCTCCTTGCCCCCACCCTTTGGCTCGGTGTTTTTGTGTGATGGGGGAGTGGCTGCAGCTCCTCCTGCCCCTGTCTGACAGCCTCGTGGAGCCGTGCAGGGAACACGGAATGGGATGGAACGATTTTTCACTCGTTAACTGCGGCATCGCTGACTCACGGCTTTGCTTCACTCCGATCAAGCATTCGCAAATTGTGCTTGTCATATTTTCTAATGCATGAAATTATCTTGTTTGTTTGACACAGATGCACGGGCACAAACACACGCCTGCTCTGTTGTGTTCTATTTTTTGAGTGAGAAAGCAGGGCTAGAGGGTAAAGTCTGAAATGCAGCGCAGGAGTTGCAGAATTAGGATGCAGCCACAGTTCT